ACACTATCTACCTAAAGAAAATATTAATAATCCCAGATGAAAGCTTAAAACTACAGGAAAGGGTAACTGTGTGAAAACCTAATGAATATCAGCTGTTCTAAAGTGATGATAATGTCTCTAAAATATAGAGAGAGAATTAAATATTAGGTTGGTGAAAAAGTATTGTGGTTTCAAACTGAATTTTGAATCATAACTAGGCTCAAACACATGCTTATTAATCAAAATAGGAATCATCATAACACATTTTTGCTAACGAGAAGTAAATTTGTTTATTCCTGTATCATAAAAATCGTGTCTCCGGATTCAACAGACTCTTGGAAAGCATTTTCTGCCTTCTGGAAGCACTTTCCCTGCAAAAAGTTGTCAAGATGCTTAAAGAAGAGGTAGTTGGTTGGTGAGAGGTAAGGTGAAATATGGCAGATGAGGCAAAACTTCATAGCCCAATTCGTTCAACTTCTGAAGCATTGGTTGTGCAGAAGAATTGGGCCCTTTCTGTTGATTAATGCCAACTTCAGGCATGGCTGTTCTCAGTACATCTCATTAATTTTACTGAGCATACTTCTTAGATGTGATGGTTTCACTGGGGTTCAGAATGCTGTAGTGGATCAGACGGGCAGCAGACCACCAAAGAGTGACCATGACCATTTTTTTTTTTTCTTGATGCAAGTTTGGCTTTGGAAAGTGCTGTGGAGCTTCTTCTCGGCCCAACCACTGAGCTGCTCATGGCTGGTTGTCATATAAAATCCACTCTTTGACACATGTCACAATCTAATCAAGAAATGGTTCATTGTCATTGCATAGAGTAAGAGAAGACACTTCAAAACGGCAGTGTTTTGATTTTCTATCAGCTCATGAGGCCCTCACTCACCAAGCCAAAACATGATAGCAATAAGATAAATTTAGGAAAAGAGTATTTGGAGTTAAAATATTCTCAGGTTCTAGCATTGCCCAAAAGAGATGCAATGCTAATTTATTTTAGAGTTTTATAATTCAGTGATGCATGCTATAATCTCCAAAAGTAAAGCAAAAGATCATGTAACTGCCAACCCAGATAATAGAGTGGAAAAATGGAGTAATAAAAAGTAATCTAAAAGCATGAAAGAAGAGAACAGTCAATAACAGGGCAAATAGAAAGCAAATACTGAAATAGATATAAACTCAGATATATTACTAATTACATCAAATTTCAGTGTACTACATGCTACAGTTAAAAGACAGTGATTTATCAGCAATTTACATACTTCTTTATCAGACAGATTTCTAAAGTATAAGAATATTGAATGGTTGCAAATAAGACGGAGAATAGATAAACCATGCAAGTGCAAACTGAAAGAAAATCGGGCATGTTAATAGTAGACCTTAATGTAAGAGAATATTATAAATAGTGATATTTCATAATGTTAAAAGATATGACAGTTTTAAATTTGGAAGAACCCAGTAACAAAGCCTCAGAATAGAAAATTACAAGTTTTCTGTTTTTTTTGTTTTTATTTTTTGTTTAGAAAAATTCAGTGATAACATTGAATGGCAAAACAGACAACTTCACCAGCTGGAAGGAAATATAAACAGTTTGTTCCTCAGTAATTGAAAGAAAAACTCAAAAAATAGTATTTGAACCATGTGGTTAACATGGGTCATGGTGGAGAGTTCTGACAAAATGTGGTCCTCTGGAGAAGGGAATGGCAAACCACTTCAGTACTCAGAGAACTCATAAACAGTATGAAAAGGCAAAAAGATATTACATGAAAGATGAACTAGAAGAGTGGAGAAATAACTCCAGAAAGAATGAAGAGGCAGAGCAAAAGGGAAAACAGCACCCAGTTGTGGGTATGACTGGTAATAGAAGTAAAGTCCGATGCTGTAAAGAACAATACCATATAGGAACCTGGAATGTTAGGTCTGTGAATCAAGGTAAATTGGAAGTGGTCAAACAGAAGATGGCAAGAGTGAGCATCCACATTTTAGGAATCGGTAAACTAAAATGGACTGGAATGGTGAATTTAATTCTGATGACCACTATATCTACTACTGAAGGCAAGATACCCTTAGAAGAAACGGAGTAGCACTCATCGTCAGCAAGAGTCCAAAATGCTTGCTTGGGTGCAAGTACTGAAACCCCAAATTATAAGACAGCTGGAGAATTAGGGCATATTGGGCAAGAGACAGCAGGATTTGCAAACTGTGAGATTAAAACCCTTTCTCCAAATACTCCAGATACTAAAACAAATAAAAATAAACTACATGTAGGTAGTTCTTGCTTTGCATATCAGTGCAGAACTCTGAAAATGACCTTGCAAGGGCAAGGTGTGTCCAAGTTGATGAAATAGGAAAACCCTGAACTCAGCTTCTCTTATAAGCACAGTAAAATTACAACTGTTTGAAGAGCAACTATCAGTGAGAATCACTTGAATACAGCAGAAAATATTTTCACAACTAAAGATACAATGAAGGAACCAAAACAAGATGGGTGGAACGTCCCTGGCAATCCACTGGTTAAGACAGCAGGCTTCCACTGCAGGGGGCTTGTATTCGATGCCGCATGCCGCACAGAGTGGCCAAAAGATTAAGGGAAAAAAGGGTAGAGGGCAGAGACATAATGTAGGCATACCCTCAGGTAGGTGACCACAAACTGGGGGATAATCACAGGCACAGAAGTTCTCCCCAAAGAGCAAAGGGTCCACGCCACACATCAGACTCCTGAGCTAAGGAGTCTGCTTAGTGCTTCCTGCACTACGAAGCCAAGCCCTCAAAACTTGTGGCTTTGAAAGCCAGCAGGATTTGAATATTGGAGAGCCAGAGGAAACAGAAACTCCACTCTTAAAGAGCACACACAGAATCTCACTTGCTCTGAGTCCCAGAACAGAAACAGTAACTGGAAAGGAACCTGTTAAGACCCACTTGCTGATCTTACAGTCTCCTAGACAGGGAGGGGACAACTAGGATAAAGAAACTAAGGCCAAAAGAGGTTAAGGAACATGTTCAAGGTCACATAGCTAACAAAGTGACAGATCCTGGCTTCTCATTCAGGCAGTTTGGATATACTGCAAGGAAATTAAACCAGTCAGTCCTAAAGGAAATTCAATCTAAATGTTCATTGGAAGGGCTGAAGCTGAAGCTTCAGTACTTTTGCCACCTGATGTGAAGAGCCAACTCATTGGAAAAGACCCTGATCTTGGGAAAGATTGAAGACAAAAGGAGAAGGGGGTGGCACAGGATGAGATGGTTAGATAGTATCCCCAACTCAATGGGCATGAATTTGAGCAAATTGGGAGATAGTGAAGAATGGAAAGAAAGCCTGGCTTGCTGCAGTCCATGTGGTTGCAGAGAGTCAGACATAACTTAGCAACTGAACAACAACAAATTTGCTCTTACTAAGGGTTTTGTTTTTTAATATTGAAGTATATTTGCTGTACAGTATTATGTGTTACAGATGAATAATATGGTGATTCACAATGTTTATACTTCATTTATTGTCTTGTCACTAAGTTGTAACCAACTGTTTTGTGAACCCATGGACTGTAGCCCACCAGGATCCTCTGTGCATGGGATTTTGCAGGCAAGAATACTGGAGTGGGTTGCCACTTCCTTCTTCAGGGGCTCTTCCTGAACCAGGGATTGAACCCACGTCTCCTGCTTGGCAGGTGTATTCTTTACCACTGAACCACCTGTACTTTGTTTATTTGTTGTTGCTGTCCAGTTGCTAAATCGTGTCTGACTCTTGTGCGACCCCATGGACCCTTTGGTCCCACTAGGATCCTTTGTCCATGAGATTTCTAAACAAAAAAATACTGGAGTGGGTTGCCATTTCCTTCTCCAGGGGATCTTCCTGACCCAGGCACTGAACCCACATCTCCTTCACTGCAGGTGGATTCTTTGCTGCTGAGCTACCAGGGAAGCCCCATACGTCATTTATAGTTAATATAAAATATGGGCTATATTCCTTGTGTTGTACAAGATGTTTTCTTAGCTTATTTTGTATCTAATAATTTGTACCTCATAATCTACTACCCTTATACTGCATCTCCCTCCTGCCTTCACCCCACTGGTAACTGAGATTGTTGCCTTGTGAGTTTTATTGTATTTGATGAACTTTGTTTTCAGTAAACATATTTTAAAATTTCAGATTGTATTTTTCTAGTTTCAGTGGAGATTGAAGTATTAGTAGGTAATTCTGTTTAGATTTGATAGAGATTCTATAGAGATGGATACAATTCCTTTGAGAAATTTTTACCTTGAGATATGTTTAGTATAAATGATGTTTTCTGGTTATAATTATACAAATTCAATATTTTCAAGTTTTTCTGATGTTAAAACCCATTTTCCCTTTTGTGCGTATATTGTATATCTAATTTTTTGGTAATTTTAAATTATCAAAATATTTTAATTTAATGAATATTTTGTAATTTATGAAATAAATTTATGAAATACTTGTCATTTATGAAATATTTACATTTAATATAAGATTAAAGTTGAATTTAAGACTTTCAAAATTACCATCAAGCTTATTTAAGAAAGTGCTGGCAAATAAAGCCTCTAGTCTTGATTTCATAACCATCAAGAATTTTATTCTATTCTTTATAAACTGGAACTAGTCAGAAATCAAATGAGTTTTGTGAAACACAGTGAAGAAATTAGCAAATAATTCTATAATCCCCTTTCCATTTCATTAGCTAGATGAAGTTATTTAAATTTTTTCTGAATGACTTGTTTTATCAATGAGTAAGGTATAATTTCAGAATTTTATCTTTTTGAAAAATTAAAATCTTCCTAGGACAAACTGAATTATGTATATTTGAATTGATCAATTTAACTCATTCAAAATTTTTTCTTGTGACTCATTATTTAATGCTTTTTAAATACTTCTATATTTAGGGGATGACTTAAAAATGATTTTTGTATAAATAGTGATTTTTGATCCAAATGTTGATTTAGTTGACCCTGAAACAACAACTACTGTTACTAAAATTAAATTATTGTTGTGTTCACTGTTTGTTCTGAAGGTTGCACAATGAATTAAAAGATGCTGTTGAAAAACAATTGGAGGCCCGTCCCTTTGGCACAGAGATGGGAAATGAAATATATACAGATGACGAAACAGTCAGGAGTCTTCAAGAACAACTAAAACTGGCCAATCAGGTGAGTGATATATGTATTCTCCTGAATAAACAGAATTTCTAAAAATCTGTGATCAGTCATTATTTATGAATGATAATAGAATATTGAAATTGTTAGCATGATGATTTTCTACAGTTTGCAAAATAGTTAACAGGTAGCAAAACTTGTAATATGTACCCTTGTTGTATGTTACAGTTGCCATGTATATATTTTAATTGAATCCTAATTCTTTTGGCATGATTTTTTTGTGTATTGTAAAGTATTTTAATGCAAAAGAAAATTTTTGAAGAAAAGAATCAATTATCCACTTGCCTAAATTTACATTTTTTCCCATGTTTTCTTCTGATACCATTTTCTTCAGTTTTCAAAGATTATAGAATTATATTTTTCTAAACTTACACTTCTTTTAGAATTATGCTTTTCCTCCTTTTTTCTCCCTTTATGGTTATCAAAATATTTGGGAAGCTATATTGTTTATATCTTGTTTTTAGCATTGTAATTTTTTTAGTTATATGTAAGAGAATGTTATTTAAATTTATAATTTTGTATGCTAGATATCTCGTATCTTTTATGGATTTGAATCCCATTTTTATACCTTCCTGTATTCCTGTTTCTTCATTTTATAAATGGGGATTAGAAATTCATTATTAAAGTTTTGATTTTATAGTTATCTGTAAAAAGTTGAATTGTCTTTTATTCCTTGGAAATTTGATTTTGGAATTCATGGATTTCAAAAGTGATATCATTTGTTAATTAGATAGGCTATATATACCTTGTTAAGGAGCATTATGTAGCACTGAATTCTTTTTAATGTATAAAGGGAAGAAATTTGAAAAGTAATAGAGGGAAAAAAATAATGAGGAAAGCATGTTCTTTGCTCTGTTTTAGCCTAGTATTTCAGGAAGAATTTATTAATGTGCATGCATGCATGCATGCTAAATCGCTTCAGTCCTCTCTGACTCTTGCAAGCTGTGGCCCACCAGGCTCCCCTGTCCATGGGACTCTCCAGGCAAGAATACTAGACTGAGTTGCCATGCCCTCCTTCAGGGAATCTTCCCCACCCAGGGATCAAACCCATGTCTCTTATGTCTCCTGCATTGGCAACGGGTTCTTTACCACTAGGCCACCTGGGAAGCCCATTAATGTTCACATATAAATAAGTAAATGAAGATTAATTTAGACTTCAAAATGCTTTCAAACCAGACATTAGATCCTGTAGCAGAATATGCATTTCTTGTTACTCTTAAAAAATACTGTGACAGACATATGTAAAAGAACCCTCACTTGTACACCTTAAATATAGGCAGTGATTGTCAGCCACACCTCAATAAATTTTTAAAAATTTAGTTTATAAAAGAAAGCAGAGTGCAGAACTAGATAAGATTTGTAGTTTCAAAAAACAAACAGAAAAGATGAATTCTACTTCTAAAAAGCATCTCTCTGTAGTACTTTTGTTGCTATAATTTCTAACGCTCAATTTTATTTTATTTTTTTTTTTTTAGTCACATTTGTTCTCATTCCTCACCCCTTTCTCCTGTCTTCCTGTCTGCCTTTCTCCATCTACATCTTGCTTGGTCCCATATTATTTCTCTGAAGATGGTCCTTTTTGCTACATGTTGAGTTATTACTTCATAGTAAATTTGATGAGGTCCAGTTTTGAGCAGTCAAAATTGAAAAAGTTTGTGAACAACAAATTTTGCCACAATATCTGCAATGTACTTTGTATATAAATGTGAAATTTTAACTGAGTGACAGTTCAGGCAGTTTTATAAAACGTTAATGAATCCATAAAGTAATAATGTTAAATGTTCTGCTTATTACTTATACATTCATATTTATGTACATTACTAAGTTCTACGTACAGTTGTTTTGGTATCCATCACTAGATTGAAAAACCTTTGTGTCATGCATGAAGACTAGGTGAATCCAAACTCAATAAATTGAAAACTAAATACAATGCAATTTACAGTAGAAAATTGAGAGAGAATTCTTTTATTATATTATGCTTTATTAAAGCAGTAAGTCTAATAATTTAATAAGATTCAAATATCTTCATCCATTTCATAAATATTTATTAGGTGTCTGCTATACATGAGACACTATGCATAGTGTTGATCATTCAGTGGAGAATGTTGGCGTCTGCTTTTGTGAAACACACAAGCTTTTGAAAGAAAAATCTGGTCAAACTTCTTGAGTTTGGTCCCCATTCTACTTTCTCACTCTGTGATCTTGGGAAATCTTTTTGTGCTTCACCTTCTTCATTTATAAACAGAGATTATAGTAATTCTCCTTTTATGGGGTTCTTAAGATAATTAAAGTTTTAAATCCCCATAAAGCACATAGTGTAATGCCTAGCACATGTGTGAAATAAATTTATCTATTATTTTTTATCATCTTTATTATTATTATTGCTAAACAGCAAGATGAAGAATTAAAATTAGGTGTAAAAAATTCTGTGTATCTCAAGTATAATTGTTTTGGGATCCAATAACACCAGTACAATATCAAGTACCTAACTAAATATTTTTAGTTTGGAGTATTTTGTTTTCTCATAATAGTGTGATTTATAAAAATCTTTCTGGAGGGCATCTTGGCAATAAAAGCCTAGAAATGTTTATATCCTTTGACCAGTTAATTTGATGGTGACATTACATAGATTCTAGGAACCTGTCCTAAGAAATTGTTATATATAAAAATATGTGAATAAATATATTCATTATAGTAATGTTTTGCTTGTAAAAAATTGAAGGTATTTTAAAAAAAATCTAAAATATGGAATCATTTCAGTTGTGTTTCTTTTTTCCAAATTATGGGTTATATATTAGTACAGTGGTTCTCAAATTTTAGTGTTTATTATAATCACCTGGGAGCTTATTAAAATAAAGATTGTTACCCTCTCCCCCAAGTTTTTGATTCAAGAAGTCTAGGATATGAGTCAGTAACCTATGTTTCTAACAGGTTCTAAGGTATTGCTGCTAGTCCTTTCAGAACCCCTGGTCTAGGAGAATCTGGGCTTTCTACCTAATATACCAGATGATTTTTACCATCAGACACATTTGAAAAAAATGCAGTTTTGAGATGGGTATTTTTATGACTAATCCATTGAAAATAAAATAGTCTTAAAAAAATAAAATGAATTGTAGAGGGTCAGTCAGCCAGGAATTAGAAATACAGCCCGAATTCTGGCTCCGTATTCTACTTTTGTCTACAAATTTTAAACTATGTAAGTTTTAGGCAAACTAATAAAAGATTTTAGAAGTCAGGATAATGGTTATTTTTGGAGGATTGTAGTATCTAGTAGAAAGGGGCAACTGGCTTCAAGGTACTGGTAATAGCATTCTCTGTCTTGAACTGGTTGCTGGTCACATGAGTGCAGTCACTGTACAAATTTATGATGTGTGTGTCTCTGAATGCATATTGTACCTTAAAGTTTCTTTAGAACTTATAAATGTATTATTTATTTGAAGTGTATACTCATTATGTTCCAAAAATGCTTATGTTTTCACTGCACAATCTTATCTACTTATTAAAACTGAGAGAGGAATAGCTTTGACCTGGACTTTAAAAGCTTGGGCTTTAGAGACAAAGAGATGAAGATTTCTTCTTGATTCTGTCAGCAGCTTGCTGAATGACTCCAGGCAAATGGCCTGAACCTTAGTTTCCACTTCCCTAAAAAGAGAATAATGCTTTTTATATGCTGGCTTAGTTTCTCAACCTTCTTGGTTTAAGAACCCCTCTTCAGTATACTTAAAAATTATTGAGGACTCCGAAAAGCATTTTTTTTTGTGTGTGGGACATTTATCATAATACTAATTAAAACTAAGACATTTTTTGTTTTATTTTTTAAATTTGTTAATAATTTTATTTATTTGGCTGTGTTGCGTCTTCGTTGCTGAGTGGGCTTCTTCTCTAGTTGGGGTGAGCAGGGGCTACTCCCTAGCTATAGGCTTCTCACTGTGGTGGTTTCTTCTGTTGTAGAGCAGGGCCTCTAGGGCCTGGGGGCTTCAGTAGTTGCATCACACAAGCTCAGTATTGGCAGCTCCCAGGCTCTAGAGCACAGGCTCAATAGTTGTGGAGCACGGGCTTACTTGCTTCTTAGGACGTGGGATCTTCTCAGACCAGGGATCGAACCTATGTCTCCTGCATTGGCAAGCAGATTCTTTATCCCTGGGCTACCAGAGAAGACCCTAAAATTTATTCTTTTTTTTTTCTTTTTAATATATTTTTTTATTGAAAGATAATTGCTTTACAGAATTCTGTTGTTTTCTGTCAAACCTCAAAATGAATCAGTCATAGGTATACATACATCCCCTCCCTTTTGAACCTCTCTCCCATCTCCCTCCCCACCCCACCCATTTAGGTTGATAGAGAGCCCAGTTTGAGTCTCCTTAGCCATACAACAAATTCCTGTTGGCTATCTATTTTACATATGGTAAATGTAAATTTCCATTTTACTGTTTCCATACATCTCACCCTCTCTTTCCCTCTCCCCGTGTCCATAAATCTGTTCTCTATGTCTGTTTCTCCACTGCTGCACTGTAAATAAATTCTTCAGTACCATTTTTCTACATTCCGTATGTGTGCGTTAGAATATGATATTTATCTTTCTCCTTCTGACTCACTTCACTCTGTATAATAGGTTCTAGGTTCATCCACCTCATGAAAACTGACTCAGATGTGTTCCTTTATATGGCTGAGTAATATTCCATTGTGTATATGTACCATAACTTCTTTATCCATTCATCTGTCAGTGAACATTTAGGTTGCTTCCATGTTCTAGCTATTGTAAATAGTGCTGCAGTGAACAATGGGATACATATGTCTTTTTCAATTTTGGTTTCCTCAGGGTATATGCTTAGGAGTAGGATTGCTGGGTCATATGGTGGTTTTATTCCTAGTTTTTTAAGGAATCTCCATGCTGTCTTCTCGGAGAAGGCAATGGCAACCCACTCCAGTACTCTTGCCTGGAAGATCCCATGGACGGAGGAGCCTGGTAGACTGCAGTCCATGGGGTCGCTAGG